GAAAAGTTTTTCATTTGTTCATTTATAAGTCACAATTGAGTAAAAAAGTTGATAAGCAGTATACACTTAACGCATACACAAATATTTGTGAGATAATAGCACAACTTTCTACACACACCAAATTTTTTATGTAGTTTTTACCGAAGTTTTTACATCACTACCTTTTCGACTCGCTGTAGGCATGTAAATGGAAGAGCAAGTCGATGCTGCACGTGGAGAGGCTTTGTCAATAGGCAGCCAGTAAAACGGCGACGCGCGTTTTGTGAAGACGGTTTTTAATTCATAGGTAAATTAAAATGAAACTTTTTTTAGTAATGGAGCCAAGTTACCCTGGCAGGGGCAAAGTTACCCCGGTTTACGGTACTTCGTATATAGCGTCAAAGACATCTGGTGGAAACGTACCCTTCGTACACTTCAGCACTCGGTAAAGATATTACAAAGATCCTGAGTCGCGAGTAGTAAGAAGATATTGGTAAGCTGTTTAAAGTTTTAGCTTTGTGATAGAGGCGTTTGCATCACGGTATTGTTATTCTGTATCTTAATGCGAACTTTAAAAAAACACATTTTTTAAAAAATAAAATTTAGAATTATTAGGTGGTTTAAAATGTACCTACCTTATTTGCATACTAAAAAGATATTAAAAATTATATCATTCATGCGTAAAAAGTTAAAAAAAGCTTTTGGTATTCTCCTCTTCTTCTTGGTACTTCTTCTCTCTATCCATTTTCTTACCCATACCTCTTTAGGTTTTTTTAATTATTTCGACAACAACAGCAGCTGCTGCCGCACCATTAACACTGTATCGATCATCTTGTTATTAACTACTATCGAGAAAATTTTTTATACGTGTAAACTCCTTACTTTCATGGTTACTATCGTGAGAGTACTTTTGCAAAAGTACTACCAACGTGAAAAACGAGCCTTTAAGCTTGTTAGGTTATTGGTGTATGTATATGATAGCAGATAAAATAAATAGTAATATACTCCCTAAAATAAAAAACTAAATTCCAGTAGGTACACAAAGTTGTTTAAAAGTACGATAATATTTAACGCTATAAGCTGTCCTAGCATTTTTAACGGGTCATAAAGATAAAACTTCGACTACACTAAAATAATATTTATTATCTTCAAGTTCGGCCTTTTCCTGAAACCGTAATAGAATTTTCAATTAGCAATACCGATATTCATTTGGAAATATCGTCGACAATAAATTTGGAACTTAATTCGGTCGAGGAAAAATGCAGAAGAGTCGATTGGCTGGCAGCGGGAGATAAGAATACGGTTAGTCATTACTGGAAATCTTGTAGGGTAATGCAATCCTACTTCTAGCAGTGTTACGACGACTTTACCTTCTCGACTCAACAATGGCGTGCATTTAAATGTGGCATTCTATTTATTTAAAACAAAATCGATATCTTTTTTGTAGATAATTTTTTATAGATATTAAGATAGTTTTTGTGAACTGAACTAATGCATATGAACATGGTTTTTATGATTTTTTGTTATTTAATCATTATTAAAAATAGTGGACATGAGCCATTTTATAATTATTTTAAATGAAACCAGATAACAAGTAATATATTATTTAAAATTCCTGACATTTAATGTGTTCCTAGATTTTTACCCATTCTATCTCTTGTTTTTGAGGTAACGACCGATTATTAACAAATGACATCTGTAAAAAAAACATATGTACTGCCCTAATAATTTGATAATTTTAAAATTTTATGGCAAAGTCAGTATATTTTTCTACTCTGAAATTTCAGTTTCAAAACTGAAATTTCATGCTACAACTTTTAAAGATTAGGCTTTATTAATCCAAACTTTATAGTGGCCAGGCAATAAAAGGGATAGATTGTATTGATTTCGTAAGAATCATAAAAAATGGTAAAAATGGCGCCACGTTAATTTATTTAACACCTGTCTAAAATCTGAGTTTATTTGCGGCAAAATAAAAACTGAATAAAAAAGCTAAACTCTTTACCTTTAAAAAGCCTGTTGACTTTTGTCGATGGGTCACTTTAATAAAAAGATATCGAATTTTTACCTCGAGCTGATACAACAAATGTTTTGCATTTGCAAAAGGCATTTGAAATATGCTTAAAAACGTTGAATTTAAACTTTCACACAGCAAAATGATCTAAAACGTAAAACTTTTTTTTTTCAATTACACTAGTACGTTTAAAAAAAAACTACTGCAATAATCTACACCCAAAACAGTCTTCTTAAATGCGTTTTCAGTGACATGTGATCGTTTATAATCGAAAAAATTAATTTCTGCGTTTTTTATTCATATGTCAAATGCCGTATATTTGTTATCAATCAATAGCAGTTCGACTTGAGCCATCGAGCAGTATAGAAGTGCCAAGGAGAAAGCGACTGACCTGCAGCCACAGAGCTTGTCAGCTCTCGGTGAGTAAGACACCGTGCGTGGCACTGGTAGTCAGTTTAACTGGGCAGCGGAGTCATACGAAGCGAAGCAGCAACGGGAGATTGAATATTAATTAAACCGAGGGATGTTATTTTAATTAGCATCTGTGGGAGATTAATAAAAGAACGAAAACGCTAAACATAGAGGCTCAGACGGACCCGAGATACCCTATGACGCGTCTGGGATGACACTGTAAGGCCTTGATTTTTTGAATTTAAGATCGGACAGAAACGGTCCCAGAGTCTAGGGAACGAGAAACTGCAAGTGGATCCCTCCCGGTGAACACAGGGAGTGAACTTCCGCGAGGTAGCTGGGATGACACCCAGGAAAATCGACTGACAGCGGCCAGGCGAAATGACAAAAACAGAGTCTTAAGAGTAGAAAAATCCTTAATAATTATGAACACTTATGTTCACAGCCTTTCTGTACAATGAGTGACAGACTTCCCCCCCCCCAAACTGTGATGTCACGCAGGTGACAGAGTCGGAGGAGAATGCAAAAAGTCAAGTAGATACAGATGACGTAATCTCTACCACCACGGAGATGGCAGCCATGGAAGTCATCATCATCGATGAGAAGCCGAGCCCAGCCACCACGTCAGATGAAGTCCCGCCCCAACCAGTGAAGAGACGTCCCAGTCGTGTGGACATCATCGCCATCAAGGAAGCCGAACCAGAGGTCGGTAAGAAAAAAAAGAGACAAATACCAACAGAAGATTCCACTGACGAAGAGGAAGATAATAAGATAGCCAGAGAAATAGCTGAGCGGGAAAAAGCCAATGAGCTTTTGACGTCAGTCAACGTACTGACGGAGCAAATCAAGGCCAACCCTCAAATCCAAGACCTCTTTGCTCAGATGACTGAGCTGAGCAAAGAAAACAGGGAAAAAAGACAAAGAAATACAAAAATTTGTCAGCCATATAATGGTCCAGGCTAAGCGTCAAGAAGAGATGGATACCGACCTCTGGAAGGCAACCATGAACATGCCAGAAGTGATGGAAAAAATCCCCTCAACTGTCCGCGCAAATAAACCATCTGAAAGCAAGGGCAAGCCCCAAGAGCCGAAGAAAAAACAACAACAGAATCTTGAGGCTGGACAAAAGTCCAAACGAAGAAAGAAAAAAGAGGCGCCGCTACTGAGAAACCCAACAGCAGTAGCGAGACGAAAGAAATGAGTGTTGCTGAAAAACAATCTCAGAAAATAAACGAACGTAAAGACCAGGAGCTCACTTAAGCTGATAAAGAAACACAAAAAAGAAGTGAGAAAAAGAAAGCCCAAAAAAACTTTTTTGGAAAACAAACAAAAACAAGTTGAATGCCAAGCTGAAAAAGAGAACAACGTAAATGACTCTTAGATAACGACAAGCGAAAAAAAGGTATCATATCTGTACACAAATCCAAATCCGGCAGATTAATCGTGATAAATACGAAAACAAGAGAGGATTACCTGGGTATGGTAAAGATACTGGAGGAAAACATCCCCCCAAGTAGAGTTTATTACATATATAGCATACCCAATAGATAGCGAGAAGCTAACGAGAGTCATCCTAAAAGGGCTTTCAGCAACAACAAGCACCGAGTCAATTCCAAACGAATTGAATGACAAAGGAGTAAACGCAACGAGAGTTATCAATATGGTATCAAAAAAAGATAGATAGAAAGGTCTTGCCTCACCTCATTAGAGTAGCAGTAATATTAATGGAAAAAAATATCAGAAAGAGATACTGCAAGCCAAAGTGCTGCTGACTATAGATTTGTTCGAAGGGGATGCCCAACAATGCATCTTCGAGCAGGATGAAGTGCCTTGTCAAACGGCTAAGACTTCCATGGAATGGTTGAGAAGCCATGATGTTACTGTTCTGCCTTGGCCTGAAAATAGTCCCGATCTAAATCCAATAGAAAATTTATGGTCAAGGCTGAAAGTCTTAGTATCACGCCGAAACCCAAGCAACAAGAGAGAACTGATAGAATCCATTATTCAAACCTGGTTTAGAGTTATTGCACCAGAAGATTTGGCTCGTCTCATCAACTCCATACCTCGCAGAATTTAATCTGTCCTAAAAACCGAAGGTTATCCTACCAAATACTAATTTTGTTGATAATAAATATTGTACCTTTTTTTAAATATATCTACTAATAGCTAACTGCTGTTGTTTTATTTATTTTTAAATTTTTAGAGGATTTTCCCCCTTAAAATAGATGTTAAATATTAAGTAGAAGCATAAAACGATGTAATAAAATTATAGATAAACTTATAAATAACATAAGTCTTGTGAAAAAGAGGAATGCTGATAACAAAACTAAAATTTTTGAAAAGTTTCGAGAATTTTGGCCACTAGTGTATACCAAAAATATTCAACTTTGTCACATCATCTGCATTTTAACATGTGCACAGGTATCTATAACACGCTGCGTCATAATGTTAAACAAGTGCTATTGCGAATCTGTAATTATTTACAAATTCAAGGAAAATGTTGACATGATTGTCGGAGGTGAACATGATTTTACATTGATCGAGGCATTTAACAATAAATGTAAACCTTTGGTGGTTACATTTTAACAACCATAAAAGATAACCAAACTTGTTTAATATTTTAGTTCCTAGTGTGACCATCTACACTATTGTAAGTAGATTTTTAAATATTGGAGTGTTTGGTAGTTTTATAGTTTTATAAGTAGGTTTTTAGTATTCATGATATATTTTTGAGTATGGAATTAATACTTTTTGTTCATTTTTCATAAATATTATAAACATTATTTTATAATTATTTTCTTTGGCATCTTTATATAATTTTATATTTTACTGGAAATATGGTTGCAGATTCAATAAAAACAAGAATATAATGTAACAATAAAACACTGAAAACTTTGTTTTCAAACTTCCACAAAATTTATTTTAAATCTTATCACTACAGCTGTTTCGGCTAATTGCCTTTCTCAATTGAGAACTGTAGTTTTTGTGTTAGTCTCCAGGTGTAAAGTAATTGTGTGCTCTCGTTATCTAAATTGTCTAGGGTGTACGTCGTTCTTTCTCTTTTTTCTCTGTGTTCTTTGTATGCCTGTGTGATTCCTGTCTACGAATGGTGTATATATTTTTCCTATTATCAGGCAGTGGTTCGAACCGCACTCTGCTCCTCTATTCACCTTTACGTCCTGTACTCTTAGCTTAGTTTGTTTCCTTGTTATGAAATAATCTATTATCGATTTTAGACCTCTTGTATGCTGATACCAGGTGTATTTATGTATGTTCTTGTGGGCAAAAAAGCCATGCAAAATCTTTAACTCATATTGTTGGCATATATTTATGAGTCTTTCTCCGTTATTGTTAAGAGTTTCTTCTCCATGCATGCCTACCACTTTACTTTGTACTTGTTTTCCTATTCTGGCATTAAGGTCTTCTCCGCATATAATCTCATGGCTGTTAGGAATTTCCTTCAGGATTTTTCTAAAGTCAGGATTTTATTAGCTAACTCTGTAAAATGAACATAGAAAGTTTATAAGAGTCTGTCGTTATTGTCGTTAAAACAACATAATAGCGCGTGGCCTTTACATTCAGTGCAATACCTATATGTTGATGGATTCATAGTCATATATTCAACAACCTGTATATTTTCTTTGTCTTTAAGTCAGGTCCAGACTCAGTTAAGGTAGGTACTGGTTTTGAAGTGCGTAGTCTAAGTCCCCTTCTGTGAAGTCTCTACAAATAGTTACACAAATCTAGAATTGATAATTTTGTTTACGAAAAATGTATAATACAAATCAACCATTGGTTTAAGTATAACCAAACAATATTTCTGTTACGAGAATACTGTACAATCTACATACTCTTGGAGTGGAGAGTGATTTTTTAGGTACGCAAGAAAAAGTCCTTATCTAAAAATAAATAGAAAATGTAGTAGATAGATTGAAAGTTTTATTGCTTCCATTTTTTGTTGCTGAGTATTAACTTTTATTTTTGTAGATCATGAAAACTGATTATTTTCAAGATTTGACTGAACAAACCGAAATAGGAGTTTGGAATGTCTTTGGAACAACTCCTAGTGAAATAAGAAAGAACATAGAAGCTATTAAAGAATGGCTCAAAACACAACCACATTTACCTGGAAAATTAGGTAAGAATCAAACATTGCATTTTTTGTTTGTAAAACTTCTGTATAGTATTATTAGTGCTTATCTATATTCTAAGTAGATCTCAGCCTCTGTTAGTTGCTAAGTGAATTGAGTAGCTCTGTAACTATCATTGCCGGTCCCAATCCGGGACAAAGGAGGAGAGTTTGCATCAGGAAGTGCATCTGGAAGTAAAAACCTTTCCAAAACTATGGAAAGGAGATATATAGAAAGCAGTTAACAGTGCATTTCCTGTAAGCAACACGTAGTTGCCAATTCGTCTGACCCCTGCGGAAAGTAATCTAGGGCAAACCCTTAGACAAAAGGGGCCAAAGAAGCTAGTTCTGAGAGTTGCAACTCTCAACGTCAAAAGAATGAAACAGAGCTTGCAGATTTCATGCAGAGGATAAGGATTGGTGTAATTTGTGTGCAGGAAACTCATTGGAAAGGTAATGAGTCGAGAGATCTTGGAGATGGATACAAGTTAATATATAGTAGTTCAAACTGTGACGGCAGAAATGCAGTAGGCATTATTTTAAACAACGAGTGAAAGAAACGTCTTGTAAGGGTAATCAGAAGAAATGATAAAATAATAAGTGTCCCACTGGATACAGGAAATAGCAATGTAGACATCATATGTACCTTGGCTCTACAGGTAGAATGTGAAAAACAGAAAAAGGAAGAATTTTGGAAGGCCCTTGATTTCGAGATGCTTGAGATTTCTGTAGACAAAAAGTATTTTATTGAAAGTGATTTGAATGGATATATTGGTAGAGAAAGAGTGGGCATAAAAAGAGTTCGTGGAGGTTTCGGAATGGGAATGAGAAATCATAAAGGAAATTGCGTGATTGACGGAGTGGCATGGGATTTAACTGTCATTAATACGTTCTTAATGAAGACTGAACACCAGTTTGTTACGTATAGTAGTCATGAAGGAAAAGTCAGATACATTTTGTGCTAGATTTCCATCTCCAATTTGCTACTGCAGAGGGATATTTCGATGACATATCAGTTTTCTTTTGTGACGGAAGGGTTAATCCATTGAATAAACATAATTTTTTTTATGACAAAAAATTTAATTAAGATTTCGAGAAAATTACACTTTAAAGGATATCAATAGAAGGTTTGAAACCTGACTGTCAACGAAGTAACAATGGACTCAGAAATGGTAAAAATATACATAACGTTTAAAGATCCAAAGGCTCCATCCTAAATTAAAGAAGTGTGGTCGACTAAGAATAAGAATTATTTTTATCTTATTTACATCCCTAGTTATATACGATTATGCCGATATATTGTTTGGATAACAGCAGCTTACCTCTCTTATCACTAGAAAGTCGGGCTTAGCATACCTACCTAGAAAGCCCGAAGGGATCATTTTGGACCCAAGTTCCTAAATCAATAAAAACCAAGTTTAGAATTAACTATTTATTTGGGAATAAACCAAAAATAAAATAAACAGTTTTAAGAAATTATATAAACTCTTGACGATAGAATTTGATTTAATTTTTTAGTTTCATTTTAAACATTTGGAACACCATACAGTTTGCAGTTTTTCGAATTTGCCACACATTGCCTTGTGTGTCACAATTTGTTCGTGAATTTAGTTTACCTTCAACAAACATCAAAATTCTGATTTTATATGTTACGTTATTTAAAAAACATAAATGATGTATCCTCTATATGTTACTGACTTACTAATACTGGTATTTTCTTATTAATAACTTCCTCTTTCAATATTGGTAACCAGATCCTACTACATTCTGCCGAGGAATTTGCGACACAATTGGCCTCATTTAGCATAATTAGAGCCGCTTTTTTGATTTTTCTTTTTTTACTATCCGTTTCTTTTAGGACTACATTTGAATTATTCCATTGAACCCTATGTTCATTATCCCATGCGTGTTTACAGATTTGAGATCTATCAAATTCTCTATTTTTAATATAAGATTGATGTTCACTTATTCTAACATTTAATGGCCTTGATGATTCACCTAAATAAAACTGATCGCATTCACAAGGTATTTTATAAATGCAATTCTTTGTCCTTTCTTGTTTATTGTTAGGTTTGGTTTTGGACAAAATAGATTTTAACGTGTTTGTTGTTTTGAATGTTGTTGAAATGTTGAATTTATTTCCTATCCTTTTAAGTTTTTCTGATAATCCTTTTATGTACGGTATTGTTATTTGCCTCATATTATTCCTTGTGTATGCTGTAGGATCTCGTTCTAAGTTGTTCTGTTATATTCGATCGATTGTTGAAAATTCCTTATTTATAAACGATAAAGGATAATCATTTTTTAATAAAACAGATGTTAACAAATGTTTCTCCTCCAAGAACGAATTTTCGTTAGAACAAGTAGTTTTGGCTCTATCGTATAAGGATTTAATTATTCCTTTTTTACATTAATATTGTGATTTGATTTGAAATTTAAATATCTATTGGTGTGTGTTGGTTTTTTATACACCTGAGTCTCATATCCAGTATCGTTCTTAGAAATTAAAACATCCAGAAAAGGTAGCGTGTTATTATATTCCTTTTCCATGGTAAATGTAATTGTCTCTTCTTTATCGTTTATATCATTTAGGAATGTGTCCAACAACTCTGATCCATGAAGCCATATTGAGAATACATCATCTACATACCTCCACCATACGGTTTGACAATTTGTTTAGAAATGATATTTGTTTCAAAATCTTCCATATATATATCGGCTAAGAATGGAGATAAACTAGAGCCCATTGCTAGACCAAAATTTTGTTTATAGAATTCATTATTTAGTTGAAAATATGTATTATCAGTACATAATGTTAATAACTCCATTATAGCCGATATGTTTAGTCTTGTTCTAGTTGCCAATGAATCATCACTCTCTAATTTTGTCTTGACTATACTTAAAGTCTTATTTAATGGCACATTCGTAAATAAACTATTTATGTCAAAACTTACCAAAGTATGATTTGAATTAAATCCAATATTTGATAATTTATTTAAAAAATGTTGTGTATTTTTTATGAATGTGTCATTTTTATTTGTAAATTTTTTTTTAAATATTTTTTTTCCTCATAATTTACTATGGAATCACTAACAGGAGAATTTTACTGTCATCATGTCATGTGTTTGTCTTTTTAAAGACGAATTACATGCTATGATTTTTTTCTGACGGATATTCTCAAGTTAAAGTTGATTTCATGTAATCGAATGAAATATATTATAAATAAAGTCGTCCCAGGAGCGCAACTCAACAATATTGGCAATATCATTTTAAAGTCATCTACTTTAAAATGCATAATGTATGTCTGAATTGTCAATATAAATGAGTCAGATAAAATTAAATTATTAGAAGAATTCTTCACTATGTAACAAAAAACAAAATTTGTTTAATTTACTGTTTGTATTTTGAGAACGATTTCCGAAGTGGAAATTGAAACGTCAATAAACGTATTTTTAATATTTTTATCTTTAATTGTGGCTTATTCCCAGTTTAACAGTAACTAACTTGTATCTTTCTTGCGTAGATGATGAGTGCCAGTATAAGGGTATCCATTTACAATATATTTTGATTCCACGCATGTCAAAAGCCAAAATTTTACGCCAAACTTATCCAGCTTATTTGATATGTACTGTGTGAACGGGCACCTAGCTTTAGAAGGCAGTAGTTGATCGTCCACAGTAAGATTTATTCCTGTTTTGTAACATGCACCACTATTTTCTATAAATCCATTCCAAACCGCAGAGGCTAGAGCAAATTTGTCGGTTTTCAATCGTTCACATCTCGTTTGCTTTACGTCAAATCTGAGATATTTTCATCTTTACATCTTCTTTTTTTGTTGTATATCTCGGCCTTGCGGTAATCGAGTAATCAATATCGGACAACCTTACACGTCAATTCTAACCTAACTTTATGTTTAAATAATATATTTTTTACTTCACTTCCAATATATATTACAATTATTACAATAAAAAAGGACGTTTTTCACATTTGGTCTCATGTATATATATTTAAATATCGGGTGATCCAGTTTTATAGATCTTTTGGGTCGATGGTACTTAATTTAGAGAATATTTTGATCCAGAGAGTCAATAATGTTACAGATCTAAGTATGGTTTTTTCAGAAATTTGTCTTTTAATTTGCACATAGATCTTATATGCAACAAAGCTATGAAAATGCATGTATCAAAAAGTTAGAGAGAGTGCAAAGATCTCTGAAATACTGTTCTTATAATTTGCGTATACCATATTCTTATTCTGGTGTGATTAATTTCTTGAATCTAGGTTTTGTTTCTTACCAGAAGAATTAACTTTGACTTTGATCCTTATTTTTAAGCTTAATAATCCAATCTCCTGAATTGCTTCAGCCAATTTGTTTTACATATTCCTTCCCATTCACTGCTTTAGAATTAACTTTTTCATGTTTCATATCACAGAATAATTTAGGTTCAAATATAGGTGTGGTCCTACTTTTCATGCATGGTAATCACTAATCAGTTACCTCAAGCACTAAAATGCAAAACAATAAATTTGTATAAATAAGTGTGTACTTGCAATTTCTTTAATGCTGGATTCTTGTTTTATTTTCACAGTGAGTTTGTCCCATTTGTTATCAATAAATAAAATTTACTAAAAAATACTGGATTTCTGTGAGATAATCAACAAATTCAATCTATTATGTTACATTTTAGTATAAGTTTGCAGTTTTTTTGTGATGATCTACAACAGGAAGATCAAAACCAACTGTATCAATACAATCAAAGTAAAACACGTTTCTTTTATTGTGATGAAAACAAAATGAAAATACTTCTTAATAAGTATACACTAAATTTTTAAAGTTGCCGTTTTCTTCATGATAATTAGATATAAATATCATAAATTTATAAATTTATAAACACTGTAAACTATATTTATTATAAATATCAGCTAGAAAAATATCACATTAAATACTATTCGCATATCACCAAGTCCAAGTTATTTCAAAAACAACTTAAAGAGTCAGAAATCGATTTATATAATATTCTCTGCATAATATGTATTCGGAATGAATGTAAAAATAAAAATTTAATAATTTTATTAGTCTTCCAAAATATCCTCTCCATTTACGTCTTGGCGAGATTCATGAACAACTACACCATTTTGAATTTCTTGATTTATTTTTTTAGCAAAAACTGAATCTATTTCAGATATTTGAGCAAGAAAGTTTTGTTTTTGGTCAGCAGCCCAATTTATAAACTATTCTTTGAATAATTTCCCCTAAAAAATAACTATGGTAAGACATTCGTAATAAATCAATCATACTATAAACAGTAAGATAAGCAATCTATAGTTATGCTATGTAATATTTGCTGCAATGAATCTGCTTATATGTAAAGTAAAAATATCCTTTTTTTTCCTTTTCTTTCCTTTCCATGTTCTTATATCTGTTGAACCAAAATACTTGACAACATTCCAGTAGAGTATACAAATAAAAACTTAAAACTTAATATTTAATAGTAACAATAATATACCTGATTATAAAAATGAAATCTATAAAATGTTTTAGTTAATTTTACTATATAATTGTAGCTAACCTATATTTACATATCGATATTTGTACTTACTTCAAATTGATTTGCTTAAAGAATTTATATAGGTAATAATGAACGACACATATTTTGGAAGATCTGAGCGGTTGTTAATTTCACTTAAAATTTTACCTTAAGTGTGTATTTCATTCTTGAAAAAGAAGCTGTGTACTATCTGTCGTATAGATGTTTTAACTATTTCCTCCTATGTTGCAAGAATATAAGGTCGACCTTCAATATTTTTAGGACATTTTACTGCTCCAGTCTGCTTATATTCTTTAATTGTTCTAAATTCTATTGTTGTAAATAGTTGAATTCGCAACACCTAAAATTAGCACATTACTTTAGTAAGTCTTGATTTTAATAATAACTATTCTGTAAAAAACTAATCTGCTGCCTGTTTTATTTTGACTACTGTGGCTGTTATTTTTATTCCAGAATTATCAATTTTCATGTTTGTACATGTATATAGTACATTATTTCTCATTTGATGATAAATGATCCAAATCTACTCGGCGTTTTTAAGGTGGAGAAGAATAATTACCACTAGTACTTGGCATTCAATCCATATTGTTATCTTAATAACACTAATATGTCGCTAAATAGTTCTGAAAAGAACTGTTTTTTATATAAATGCAAACGAAAAATCTAAAGATGTAAGAAATAACACAGAAAATACAGAAAATTGTCGATATAAATTTTGAATTTTAAAATTTCACAAATGTCATTAGTGTCAATATGTCATAATTTAGTGGAGTAAACTTGCCTGCGCTTCGACCAATTACAAACAAGCATTATGGCGCGGAAAATTTGAATTACTCCTCCTGGTTTAAAAACAGACCATAGTAACTATAGGAAATGCACCAAGTTGAAATCATCGTATCATTTATTCTTATGCTAACTAATTCCGAAGACGACACTTGATCCATATGCAAATTCCTTGATTTTTATCTGTGACGATGTTTTTCTGTTGATCTCGCAGTTTGTTAGCTGTATTTAATTTCTAAAGATCAGCTGCTTGTTTATGCATTTTAAACGTATCGTGTTTTTCTTCCAATAAATATATTTCTTCACACTGTGATTTTAACCAATTTTCTTTGGCCTTTCTTATTTGTGTTCTTATTTTTCTGTGAATATTGTTGTACATTCTTTTGTTGTTCTTTGACTTTTTCTTTTTTCTTTTCATGAGTTGCAGTATCTTATCATTCTTCTGACTGTTTTTTTTCTCTTTAATTCTATTAGATATTCTTCTCTGATCTTTAAAAACGTCTCTTTTGTTTACTTACATTTTAGTCTTCTCATATCGCATTTTTGTTACTATTCTTTTTTGTAACCTTCTTAAATCCAAACCGATATTTACCAACAACAGGAACATTATCTGACGATATGTCAGCACCATATATTTGCTTATATTTAATAAAAATACTTTAATTTCTGATAACTATGGTTTAAATATTTATTTACTGTAGATGTTATTGGACAACCTATAGGTTTCCAAAAATTGGAAAATCACGTTCATAAATGTATACGTACCCAGTTTTTCAAATGCAATTAATGAAATAAAAGAGAAGTATAAAAACGTCAATTGTAATATTAGCCATTTTCTAATTTTTATAATAATTCTTATAGGCGACATACGTTTGACTCACATGTTTTGATTTATTTCCTATAATAAGAATAATGACGATGTACAAAGATCCGGCGGATCGACTCTATCTTCTTTCTACTTCAACAGCCTGCATAACATAAATCATTTTAGATGCACTTATTAAATAAAATTATATTTTAAATATTTTTTTATATTTGCAGCTGATGAACAAATCAGGGCGTTTCTTATGATGGGCCGTGGTAGTGTTGAAAATGCAAAACCAAAAATTGATATGTACTTCACGATGAGATCTTTGTTTCATGATATTTTTCACGAGTCTCATCCTTTATCAAAACGGATGCAAAAAGTTAAAGATTACATGTAAGTAAATAAGATATTATCTATTGTAAAAATAAAATTACAGAAATTAATTTTAGGATAGATAGAAAGGAACAATTTCTTAACGCCATCTTTTCTTCCAAAAATTTAGAGATATAAACAACTCAACAGATAATAAATTAACTACTTGCAAAAATACAATCCCAAAAGTTTAGCTGATGTCTATCAACAAAATTCTAGAAGCACAAATAGTTCTTACAAATCTATAACATAGAAGAAAAACTTAGAAACTTTTACAATCATCATTAACAAATATTGTATGGAATTTACCCGTTCTATTATTTGACCCTTGACATACACATGTACGTTTATTGTTGTCTTTGAAAATACTAAAGTTTTAGTTTTGGAAACGTTTAGATATAAACCGAACATTTCACTGTGGTGAACATGGACGTATAAACATAGATGGACACAGCAATATAATACCTTTAACACACAATGTTTTGAAGCTTCGATAGAATGTGACTGTTCCGCAATGAGCATAAGCGTGCTTGAATTTTTACTCGCGGTTAATTATTCAGATTTTAAAAATTGGAGGTAGTAAAAATGTATAAAAACAGGTTCAAAGAATTTAAAAAAACGAGAGTTTAACTATTAACAAATCACGTCTTTATAGAAAAATTAAAATACAATTTTATTTACTTTAAAATTAATACAATAAAATATAGTTAAATTCAAGTTAACTTTAAATAGGTATCAAAATAATGCTACAATAAAAAATCTTTATGTTTTCTCCTAAATTTGCTACCAAAATAGTTCGATCGTCAATATTATTTGGAAACCTACATAGAAAAATAAATGAGTTTTATTCATTTCACTAATTTATTTGCATCCATGAGAAATATTAAATTAAAAAGGTACTAAATAGATCTTTTTTAATCAGATGATGTCTACTTACAATTTAAAAATGTCTACTAATTCCATGAACTTATATCTTATTTAATACATTAATGAACATGAATAAACCCAATGGTACGCCTATTAAAATGTAAACAAACACGCTTCCTCATTTCCTCATCTTAAATAATCTAAATTTTATGTACTTACAAATGAAATGAGAGATCGGAATGTAAATATTTCGTTCATTTTATTTCACTTTTTACAAATATCACTCAAAATACAGCCAAAATATCGAAAAACAACTTTTACTAAAAAGTAAACAAACATGCAACAGCATTTGAAGTTTGACGTAGATCCATAAGACAGAGAAATGTAAACAACCGTTGCCATTAATAAATAGTTTTCAGTGCTTCTACATATAAAATAATTTATTGATATATATTATACGCTTTTATTAAATGATAATGCACACTATGTGCACACTTTATATTTTGATTACAATTAAATATATTAATCTAACCAATAAATTATTATTTTGGTTTGATAGCACCTGTAGAGTATAAAATACGGAGTAATATTTTCAGCGACTCGCGAATAAGAAATTTTAAAACAAAACGTGACAACAGTTGAAGGTGCTGAGAATGTGACCTATTCAAATAATTTTGACTACACAATTTTATGTAAATAACTGAGTCCATCTGTGTTTATACGTCCATGGTTCAAAGTTAACCCCCTCTGTTAACGCTCTTTTAGCTTTAATCAATTGTGCAGTAATGATTCATGCTACTTAAATCTTTATATATTTTTAAGAGTAATTTTTAAAACATTTTAAAACCAGGCTTTAAAGTAATTTACAAAAATAAGCCAAGTCACGTGGATCATTATTGCGTTTTTAAAATAATTTTAAAACGAGGCTTTATTTTTTAAGCCAAAATAATCCAAGTAGGCCGAATCATTTTTACAAAATTAAATAAAGTCAATAACACAAATGTATTTAACACTGTAATGATTCAAAAAGCTTGAATCATATCAGCAAATGTTATTCTCGCAATTTTCTTTGGTCATTATAAATGCAGAGGTGTTACATTCCATAATGTAATGCTTGTGTAAAACAAAACACAAAGAAAAGATCTTATACCACATTAAACGAAGGTTTACAAAGGAAAATTAAAAATTTTAGTCGTACCTATACTTTAGCAGGAAAAATAGTCTGCTGTGATATGTTTGTAAAAACATTAGGTATTTCTCCCCAAAAAGTGACCGTATCTTTAAAAAAAATGGATAGCTCTGATAGCATTGTTGATCAAAGAGGACAAAAGCAGGGATGTTGGAATAAAACTCCTTCTGAAGACCTTAAACTTGTAATACGTCATCTAAAATCAATTCCAACTTACACATCACATTAAAGAAGAGCAAATTGCTCTGATGTCTTATTCCTTCAGCCAAATCTGACTGTAAGAAAACTGTATGAGTTGTATACTGCAATGGTAGTTAAAAAGTATCCTGTAAGAAAATATGTTTCGTTTGAAAAATATAAGTCTATTTACCTAAACAAATTTAATTTACGAACAAAATCGCTTCACAAAGATACTTGTTTACAATATGATTTATTTAACACAAAAATGAAAAACGTTGCAACTGAAGAAGAGGGAAATTATTTACCTGACGAACATCAGAAACATGTTGAACTTTGGCAAAATGCAAGAGCAACAATGAGACACGATCTAAAAGAAAGTCAAATGTCCCAGGAAATGGAATGCATCACATTTGATTTACAGAAAACTCTCCCACTTCCAAGAATACCTACAAACTTGGTTTTTGATAAACGACAACTATGGGTATATAATTGTGGTATCCACTTAGAATCAGAAGACAAAGGTTACTGTTATGTATGGATGGAAGGAGAAGCAGGGCGCGGAGCTCAAGAAACTGGAAGTTGTTTAATTAATCGCATGGAATAATACCTGAAACCTGATGTGAAATATTTAATACTTTGGGGCGATTCATGTGGGGGGCAAAATAGAAATATTAAAATCGTTTTGCTATTGAAACACTTTTTGTCAAAACATTACAACTTTACAGAAAATTTCACAAAGATTTCTAGAACCAGGTCATTCCTACCTGCCAAATGACACCGATTTTGGCAAAATAGAAACCGCTTTTAAGTTACAGCAGCGAATTTATACATCAGAAGAGTACATGGATGTCATGCGTTCGTGTCAAAGGAAGAAACCAATGGTGGTTACTAGAATGAAAAAGGAAAATTTCTATAGTACACAGAAACTAAAAAACTTATCGTCAATAGAAAATTATCAACAGATAAGAAGCCCATAAATTGACTTTAAACCAAAGAAATTTTATTAAAAAAAGAAAACCCGTATTCCATTTTCATGAGAAATTTTTTTGATAGTGAATTTGTGGAAGTGGATATTAAAAAAAAATTCTAAAAGTAAACTTTTGACAGAAATATTTACTCCAGAAAATCTTTCGCCTCGATGGCCTAATGGTAAAGAGATTTCAGCTCCAAAGTTAGAAGACATTAAGTTGTTGTTAGATCTTATTCCAAAAGACTGTCAAAACATATATCTACAGTTAACAGATAACAAAAATATTCCCGATGACATAGGTGGGTATGGAAATGAACTAGATTTTCCCCTGGAAGAAAGTTCTACAGAATAATGTTTCTTCGATCTAAACTTAAATATTTCAATGTTTTTATAATGTAAAGATATGTTACCAAAAATAAATCTTTGTTTTATGTACAGACTTTGGTAAAAATAAATATAATTTGACAGTAATACAGACAAACACCGCTTTGGATCATATCTGCAAATATTAAAATTTGCTTTGTACCACAAGAAACACAATTTTGCAGAAATGATCCAAATGTTTTTTTTATTTATTGACAAAAATAAATATACTTTATTTTTTAAAATACGCACATAAGATGCAATAAACACCTTAAAATAACTTGTGCATATTTAAATGAATAAACATAGTTATTTCAAATTGTTGTATTAAATTTTCTTTAAAGGTAATTTTCTCAAAATTATGTTACTGTGGGATGGATCAATTCTGCATAACTATGTCCAATTCATATCCTGGAGAATCCTTCAAACAGAAAAAAACAAGCTTTATTAACCTTATTAGAATTGACCATACGGTCTTAACAGTATGGTCAATTTTTAATAAATATACTTAATAATAAATTTAATAATAAAAGAACCACTGTCAATCTGCTTGAACTGCTCTGATCCACAGACCGTTAAACATAATATCCTGCTTGATTATTCGCAATTAATGGGAAAAAGAATATACTACGGAATCATAGATGATGATTTTAAAACATTTCTCACCAAAAATATATTAGCATTTTTAACCTATTAAATGACATTAAGTTATTTAATTCTATTTAATTTAATATTGTGCTTGTACTTGGTATATCCACTCATAATCCTGTATGGTTGATATGGTTTTGTGTAAAAAAATACTTTATATTGATCGTAAAACGTATTTTACATAATTCGGACATATTTATTAATTACTAATATTGTTATATTTACTTACTTTTAATTTGTTTTAGTTATTTAATACCAGTTCCAAAGTTGCTTCCAGATTATACTCGACTTATAATTGTGAAATTAAAAGAAGAATTAAAAGATCCATATTCGTTCGATCCTGGGGCAGCGTTTTGTCAGGTGATAAATATGGTCGATGTAAGATTTTTTGAGGATTTATGTGCAGGGCACACCGTAATCGTCGATCTAAAGCATTGTCAGCTAGCACATTGCAGCAAAGTTACCCCGTCTATTATCAGAAGTTGCTATACAGTCTGTGAGGTAAGTGGATTTATGGACTTTTATTGGAACAACGATCGAGAAAAACAAAAAAAAATTAATACAGTAGACTCGCGATTATCCGAGTCTCGATTAACCGAGCCTCTGGATTAACCGAGGTAGTAATTGAAAAAAAAACAACAAATTATGTAATAAATTAGCTTAAGAGTGATATCAAGTAAAAGCGTTGCACTGGTTGTTGGTATGCTGAAGAGATGAGTCACTAGTGTTATTGTTCTAGCCACTATGCTTCTACTGGCCGTCTCACCAGCCAATCCTCCACTCGTCAGTCTGAGTCATAACAGCTACAGATGTTCCATTAGTCCCACTGTAAGCTCTTACAGGTTCATTATTGTCTTCTCTTTGTGTAGTTTCTACGTAACTTAAAAGTGCAATATAAGTTTAAAATGTAAACGAGTTGTGCTTTCTTTGTTTATTGCGAAAATCTACGAAAAAAGGAGAATACGTACAGACCTCTGAAGCCTTATTTTTAGTTTTTTAATCTTCGAGGATTGGGAAGTCCAAATAGCGGCCCCATGCTTGAAGCCAAGGCTGTCGAATTTCACAAACGGTTTAAGGATGACGAGGAAAATTTTATTGCAAGTGATGGTTGGCTCGGCAGATGGAAGGAGGGGTATGGTATCCGACAACTGAACCTTAAGGGTGAAACAGTTTCGGTCGATTCATCTGAAATTGAGCCGTTTAATTTAAAATTGAGAGATCTCATTTAAGAGCATGATCTCATGTCAGACCAAATCTTTAATCGTGACGAAACGGTTCTCAATATTTGAGAATGCTTTTAACCAAAACACTGGCAACTCAAAGTAAGAAAACTGCGCATGGATACAAAAAAAAACGAGTAACTCATTTAATGTGTAGTAGAGGTGTGCTTATTAGTTCTTTTAGACGAACTAGTTCAAGAGAACTATTTCACAAAAATGAACTAGTTCAGTGAACTAGTTCGCGAAATAACTATTTGTAGGACAGAAATCGAAATCCAACCCTAACATAACTGGTTGTCAGATATCTCGTCTCAAGAATCACACAAATTCGGCGCCGGCCGCCTGTTTTCTTCGGTTTTCAGTAAGTCTTTCACTACCGTACGGCGTACAAGTAGTTCGGATTCGGAACCATTTCTTTCGATCGTATGTTTAGGTTTAAATGTTTTAAATTATTATATGATTAGTTGGTTTTTCTTTATAATAATTTATTTTCCTAATCAATACCAAACGATGAGTAACAGACGAAATAGAAGTTTTTTATGGGATCATTTCGAAAAAAAAAAACAATAAAAATCAAAAATCTGCAAAATGTAATTACTCTTCATGTGATATTAGTATTGCAAGTGGTTCACTGGGCAATTTATCAAGACATTTAGAAATGAAACACTCTGCTATTAATCTCAAATATCTCAATGTTGAGAGATACATAGAAAAAGTAATAAATAAAAATGTAATTCTACTCGTTCATTTGAACCAGTTGAAAGAATCGTTCATTTGAACTATTTCGATGGTGAACTAGACATCCCTAATGCGTAGCAACTCTTCTGGATCTTTAAAATTAAGACCACTAGAAAATCGAAGAATCCACAGGAATCCAAGTTCGTTGGTTAGCGTTGATACTAAAGACACTAAAACTATTTTCTTGCCACCAAACGTCACGTCTCTCATTAAACCTCTCTACCAAGGAATTTTCGAAGCTATGAAACGGAACTATCGTGGAAGGCTTCTCCAAGTGTTGTTGACCAGCTTGGATGAGGGAATGACTGGGACAGCAGACCTTTAAAAGATCACCGTTAAGGATATGTCTTAATATAGAGCTTCAGCGTGGAATGATGTGAGAGTAACAACTTTGCAAAAGTCATGGCGGAAGATTTTTCAAATTGAAGCGAAAAGTTATGGAATAGATAACAATGACTATCAACCCACACAATGTCACTCCGGATGGCACATACGAGATAATCAAAAAAATATATCACTTCGTAGGATTAAAGGCGATTGGAACTGCCCTTGCCTACAATCAGCAACAGAAAGAGTCAAACGCTTCCAAGGTCCTTCATCTTCAGCGTGGGCAAAACGTCGCTGCTTCAAAACGAGGCCAGAAGTTGACACAGAAATCTATCAAAAGACCTTTTTAAAACATGAAGATGATCCAGTACGTAATTGTTTTCCTATCTGTATATTTTAACTATATACTCACATACAGGTTAACATACTTCAACTGTACATAATAAACGAATTATATACGTCATAACTTTTAAATTGTTTGTTTATTCTAAGGAACCCCCCGATTTCTGTGTTATCCGAGTTTTTCGGTATCCGAGAAGCTCGGATAATCGCAAGTCTACTGTATAGCAAATAAATAAGTACCTTATACTTGTCGTACTTCAAAAGTATATTTTGTAATAATAATAATTTATATTTTAGAAAGCTTTGACAACAAGTGTAAATGGAATTCACATAATCAACGCTCCAAGATTTTTTGATCAGGTTATCATTATGATAAAATCTATACTTTCTCCAAAACTGGCCAAAAAAGTAAGTTAATTTATCATTTTTTTTATTTAAATACACAGGAAAACAAAAAAATATAGTTACTTAACAATACACGATAATATTTTGGTTGGATGCATAAATTAAAGCTGAATCAAATGCGAGTAATCCAATTACAATGTGGTTGGATAATGAATTTATTTAAAGAATAGAAGGACGAAGGACCACCAGCCTGGGGCTGAAATGAAAAACAGAATTAAACATTAACTTATATTTAATACTAAGATTAAATAGCAATTTTTAAAATCTGTCCGAAAACACTGTGATATGGGTTATATCAACTACACTTTTCACTGGTGCTATTTTCACTATTATATATAACTAATTACAAGTAGAATTGCTTAGCGGAATGTCTTTTCTATGTTTAACGCGAACTACTGGCAACACTGCTAGTTTGAATATATGAACTTTTATATGAAAACTATACTGCGGTGTTAGAAAACACTGATTAATATAAATGATTGACTTATAATCTTTACGAATAATATTGCGATGCGAACTATTTAGTTACAAATACATATAATATATTAATAAGCGATTTTGCGAGCTAGCGATGTCAGTTTACGAGATTTTGTGACCGAATGTGGTAAAATCTTTTTCTGAACTGACTGAAATATCTAGATTATGTAGACAGGTAGCGCAGGGCTCCTATCCCTAAAAGTACCGTTGGATATCTTCCTTAATTTCTTCGAAGAAGGCTTAGCAATATCGGCATGGGAAAAATGAATCTCAAGTGAAATGGAATTTCACCACAATGGTTGTAATATGTACTTATTTAAATCTTAAAATAATAAACAGACCAGTTCAAAATAAATTACTGTTTTTGGTTTTTATCATATTTTCTGATAATGTTTGAGTATATTTTCTTTTAATTATTATGCAAGAAAAACTATAAGATCGTAGTTGGAGGTTGTGTTCAAAACCGAGATCTATTATTTAATACTTTTCTTACAAAAAAAATTTTAACAGCCTTCACTAAGGGGCTTTGAATTTGCCATTCACCTAATTCGCTATCGAAGAGAGATTTTTCCACTATTTGTGTTTTTTTTATTTCTTTGTATCCTATTATATTATTAAAACCGTTAACAAAGGAAGAGAATACAAAATGAGAAACAAAAAAATCAAAATACTCTATTATGCAGACGACGCAGTATTGATAGTGTAAGATGAAGATTGTCCTGCCAAGACTGGTCCACAGATTTAACATAAGAGCAAAATAATTTATTTTAATATGACAATCTCATCTCAGAAAACTAAAACAATAGTAGTCAGCAAAGAAACAACCAGATTTTAAATAGAAATTGATGGCATCAGTATTGAACAAATAATGGATATAAAATACCTAGAAATTACACTGTATAGCTATGGAGACTTGGACAAAGAAGTAACAGATCAAGTACAAAAAGGCAAATAAACTGGCAGGATGCCTTAATAAAACTAATATGGCGAAAGAGACATATTAACACTGAGATGAAGTCAAGAATTTATAAAGCCAGTGTAAGACTAATAATAACATATGCCTCAGAAACAAGACCCAACACAGCCATAACGCAAATAGGCTGACAGATCGAAAGACAAGTGAAAACATTAAAAGAAAATGTAACGTACAGTGTATAAATAAATGGACACAAAATAAAAAAAGAATGGAATAGTCACATAAGCAGAATGGAGGAAACCCGTGTCGGCAAAATAGCAAGAGCTAAGCCACCAATCGACAAAATAAGTATCGGACGATCGCTTCTTTGATTTCAACATTTCTTTTAATTTTAATGTATGCTAGCATTTGGTTTAGGTTTCGTTCGTTAGGTTCGTTATGACTTCATTGTGATTCAACTTGACGGAGTTCATTGTCGGTATTAAATATCGTTTTTGTTGTAGCACATATTGTATTTTTTCTGTTCTACCCGTTACACATGGTTGGATGAATTTTGCAAACGATTGTTTGTCTTCTGTTGGGTTATTAAGTCTTCTTGAAGTATTTTGGGCTTTTTGGACGGTGTATGTTAAGAAACCGTTTGTTTAACGCGGTTTTCACAATATGAATTTCTTCATTTTTATGTTCTTCGTCTGTCAATCTTTTAGATTTTGTAATAAGTGTTTTTATGACTGAATGTAATTATGCAGGATAGTGATATGAATCAGAGTGTAAATATCTGACAATAGTTGTCGATTTTTGATAAACTTTACATCTCATGTGTCCGTCCTTCAGCCTCATTATTAAGTACTACTATTGGTAGTTGTTCGTTTTCTTTCAGCTTCATAGAAATATAACTAAATATTTAGGTAATTTTTGGGTGGCAAGCAAGCAAGCAGTTGAACCCAGCTTATGAGAAATGTTCACCCCTAAGTATTACGATCGGGTGTAACAATTCATTGGAGCAAGGTGTGTTTACTCGAGTGTAAATAGGAGTCACCCCACCGTGCTCCAATGCTCTAGACCATCTCTTCCCTCCCTATAGCACTCTGATGCGCTATAGAGGCACAACAATCAGCCAAATGCTCTTTATGTGGAGGTCCTGGGTAATAGAACCCTAACATGGTTTCCTAATCGAATGCAAAAACTCATGACAGCGCATCTCCGCTATATTCCTGTTATCTAATGGTGGCTTATCCGCGAACTAAAATGCTTACTTGGGGCCTCAAGTCCCCGCTCTAAGTCCCGGCTCAGTTCGGCGACTTGGTGCCCAAAGGGTTGGGCCCTACGTGCCCGTGTTTTGGAGGTTTTGTTAATTTTTTTGGTGGCCGAAGCCAGTTTTTGTTAGTAATTTTTTTAATTTTTTTGGTGGCCGAAGCCGGTTTTTTGTATTTCTTGTGTTTTTTTTTGTAGGCGGCCCTGTGAACAAAAAATCAGAATTAGTATATAGTCTATATTATAATAATAAAAATAAATTAATATTATACAATACCACAATACAGACTCTATACTTGTGTGAGCAACTGGACCCACTGTGTATTTGGCAATATGCGGTATCCTGGATGTTTTGAGCTACGAACTATCTTCCTTATGTTTTGTGTATTGATTTTTGTGATTTCTTCTCTCTCTGGTGTTTTTTGGGGTTGCGTTTCCATCGGGGGGGGGGGGTTATTTCTCTCTGGTATTATATTTTATTCGACTATCTGTTGTTTTGGTCTTTTGTGCTTCCATCTGTTGAAAGCGGTATACCTCATTACCTCTCGTAGTATGTGGCTGGGATGGTTTTCTAATTCTGCAAACTTTGTCCTGGCCTTTTCTTTCATGGTGTCAGTCACTCTGACTTGCTGAAATTTTCTGAAAAGAAATCTTTCAGCGACGTATCTTGGTGCGTTAACTGCTTTTCTAAGGCTTTTATTGTGCACCGCCTGTATTTTTTTCTTGATCGTGTTGCATGTGTGTCCCCGTGCAAGTGACGCGTAGGTCAGTATGGGAAGGACTATACTATTTATTAGTCTTATTTTGGTTTTGAGGCGCAGTTTGCTCTTCCTTTCTACTAGGCCTCTTATTGCAGCTCTTGCCATGTTGGCTTTTTGGATGGTGGCTTCTACATGTTTGCTAAAGGTTAGTCCTTTATCCATTATTACTCCGAGGTATTTTGCTTCGCTTTTCCACTCGACGGGATTATTCTGCACAGTTATTTGTTCTTCCGGTTGTTGGTGCCTCTTTTTAAAAAGTACAGCTGGCGTCTTATCGAAGTTTATTGTTATTTTCCACTTCACACTCCATTCTTCTATGTCGTCTAGTGCTGATTGTAGATTGGTGACCGCTATGTCTACGTTCCTGTGTTTGGCCGCTATCACTGTGTCATCGGCATAGAGACTTAATAATGTACCTGGTGTTCTAGGTATGTCTGCTGTGTATATTGTGTACAGCAAATGTTACAGTACCGCTCTCTGGGCCACTCCAGCCTCCGTGTTCCCGAGTTCGGACAAGACTTGTCCTATCCGGACTCTGAAACTCCGGTTGCTCAAGTACGAAAAGATTAGTCTTGTCATTGCTTCGGTGTACCCGTATCTTCTCATTTTGTATAATAGTCCCTTGTGCCAGACTCTATCGAATACTTTGCTTACATCCAGGAATGCAGCTCCTGTTAATTGCTTATCGTTGAATCCAGCTGCTATGTACTCTGTTAGTTTGAGTACTTGTAACTCGCTGGAGTGTTCTGATCTAAAGCCGAATTGGGCTTCGGGTATGATGTCCAATCTGTCTGTTTCAGCTTGAAGTCTGCTGAGTATCACTCTTTCTACTATCTTGCTGATTGCTGGTAGTAAGCTTATTGACCTGTAGTTCTGTGGAAATGTGTTAAATATACAATGGCTCTCGCTGGTAGGTATTTTAGAGCTCTGTTTGTGATCTGGTCTGGGACGGGTACCTTTTTTAGCGAGCTATTTTTAATTAGCTCGTTTATCTCCTCCGGTGATGTGGGAGGGATTATTTCGTTTGGGTTTTCCGGTCTTTCCCTTTGTCTTTCGACTTCTTCTATGAAGTCGATGTCTTCGTCTGGGTGGTAATTTAATGTACACACTCTCGAGAGAGTACTCCTCATTACCTCTGCTTTTTCCTCTATGCTGTATACTATGCCATTTTCTCCATGTAATGGAGGGATTGGTTTTCTATCGCTTCTAAGGATTCTTTAAAGTTTCCAAATGTTTTGCATATTTGGTCCTTGTTTCTTCCATGTCACGTGCTCACGAGTCCCTTAAAATTTATCCATTTTGTTTTCTTTTTAACCCGTTTGATCGTGCTTTCTTCTTCCCACGTTCCTAGTTCCAATAGGATGGGGTTGTGGTCAGTTTTGCCTTCGTTTAGTGTTTGTATTTCTGTTTGTATTCCTAGATTTTTGGGTTGTAGTGCTAAATATTGTTAACTTTTGTATGATGCAAAGGGAGTCGTAAATAATTATTTAAAAAGATAATTATTTATTTTCTTATTAACCTATATTTTTTATAGATACATCTACACAAAGACTATGAATCCGTTCTTAATTCCATAGATAAAAATATATTACCAATGGATTATGGCGGCAATGAAAAATGTTTGGATGAATTGGAAGGTAGGTTATATGTAGGTCATATTATGTAATTTAATATATATTTTGCCTCACTGAATTTTTTTGTTTCTGTTGTACAGCTGAGGTCATTGAATAGTGTACACCCTAACATGTCCAGTAGCCAATTTTTAATCCATTTAAATGCACAGATTACGTCAAAGTCGTATTAAAATCATCAGTGGTGACCCAAAATAGGTTGATTAACCCTTTGAGGTCAGAAATGTTTTAAGGAAAACAAAGGTTTAATGATATTTTAATTATATATATTGATTATTATTATTATTATATGTATTGTATGATTAATATAGTGTATCCATATTTCTTTGATAAACCTCTGTAATGCCATTATAGTATTGTAGCCACCTTATGTATATAGTGCAGCTAGGAGATTATCTATTGCGGTTGATTTGTTTCTGGCTAGTTTTTTAATTGCATCTTTAACGTCAAGAATCGTTGGTGGTTCCACTTCCATCTCGTATGTTCTCCTTACCTTATCACTTTCGTCTTCCACGTTTTCTTTTTCTTCCTCTATATTAAGTGCCTGGTTAAAGTATTCCACTCATCTATTCAATACATCTTTCCTTGTTGTTAGTAAATAGGCATTCTAACTTCTGAAGTGAGTTGTAAGTTCAATAACAGTCAATTCAACGTAAGAACGTCACCATATTTATATATAGGATAATGGACCGAAGAAGAGAGAAGACAAAAGAATATTTTGTTATCTATTATTAAAAGTTTTATGTATATTTTCTTCTATATCCTTATTTATTGTCCTTTGTGTCCATTTTCTATAATTAAAACGTTATATTATTTACTACGCTGCAGTTAGAATTTGCAGCCATTTCGTTATAAATTCAGTCAAAAAACTTCGAAAATTTCAACTTTCATAATTCTCTGAACATATTCGTTGTCATAATAAATTGTCAAACTCAGCCTTCTTGTTAGAATGAGGCTCTGACGTATTAAATATGAAAAATAATCTAACTATATATTTTTTGCAGACTTGTTTGCTAAAAGATATGAAATACACAAGGAGTATTTCGATAGAAGAGAAACGCTAAGGGTGAATGAAGAAGTTAGACCAACGAAAAATGTAAACGACGAAATTCTTGGATTTTACGGAAACTTTAAAAAACTCGATGTTGACTAAATGTTATAATAAACAAAGTTTCTGAGTTTCTTTATTTAACTTTATTAATTTTAATTTAAATTGTCTATTCATATGTTGGTAAGAAGTATGTAACGGCATAGTCAATCCCAAATAGAATATACTGCAATAATACAAGTTTATAAACGTGTATCTATTATATTATTACTTCTGTGTATGACATAATAAATCACCAAAGCTATTCTGTAGTTTTTTTGTTTACCAAGTGCTTGATTTTTGAACTTTCTTTAGATGAAGAGAAATAAATTATTGAAATGTTGAGTTTTCAAGAAAATAGACTCTAGGTTATCGTTTTGATACAAAAATATAAATCTCCAAGCTAATAGTCGATATTTGTGAACCTTAGGTTCATGACCCATTTATCTAGCCAATTTGTTAACTCTCCTTGTTGGCGTTATTAAGAATGACATATTTAGTGTCGTGGGGGACAATTGGCACCCATTTTTTATTTGGCTTTTTTTGGTCTTTTAATTTGTTTTCTACAGAAATATAATCAGTACAGTATACTTATCAAGATAAAACTAAAAAATGATTACAACAAAATTTTATTTTCAAATAAACGTAGTATTCATTTGACTCTCGACCTGCAAACATCGCATCGATACAAATTAGGCGAAAGTTTACAGTGGTGATTAAAAACGGGCTCCGGCCGCGTTTTTACCGTCATTATCGTGTATCAAGTGGATATACTATTTATAAACTATTTAAAAATTAAAATATACAGTTTTAACAATTAAAATGAGTTCTCTACCAGATTTATCGGTGAATGTTCCTTTTCATACTGCTACTGTTAATGGTCAACCTATAAATACTCAATATCAGCAACAGCAAATTTAACCAGAATGTCCAAATGTCCTTTTTCCACAAAATTCACAACCAAATTCAGCACAAATTTTAAACAATCCACCAACAACAATATATTATGTTCCTAATCAAGTACTATTACAATCTTCCTCAAACTGTCAATACAATCCTACAATAAATCCCACATTATCTACACCTCAAAATGAAGCTTATGATTCTATTGAGATGACACAGACATTACAAAGTGAAGAATCTTCAAAAGAAATCAGCGACATTGACTCATCGGACATCCACGAATGGCAAACTATACAACATAGTAACAAAAAACGTAAAATTAATCCTCCGACACCAACAGAAAACGAAGACACGGTAGTAACCAGCAATAAATTTCAGATTCTACAAAATGAAAACGAAAACCACAACAATAACAGTAGGTACAGAAAATACCAACAAAACTCCAGCAACCAATAAACCCCCACCAATTTTTATATATGGTGTTACTGAATATAATAAAATGGTTAATAATCTATCGGAAGTAGCAAAAACAGAGACATTCTATTGTACAGCATCAAAAAACAACACAATAAAAACAAATTCCCTGGACTCTGAAACATATCGAAAACTGGTAAGACATTTAAACAGCAAAAAAATTGTGCATCACACGTACCAGATGAAAGAGGATAGAGCATACAGAGTTGTAATTCGTAATCTACATCATACAGTGCCCATTAATATAATAAAAAGTGAAATAGAAAAACATACACATTTAGTACGCAATATTGTAAATATATAACACAGAGTAAATAAGGACCCTCTAATAATGTACTTCGTCGATATAGAACCTAATCAAAATAATAAAAAAATATATGAAATTCAATTTATAAACAACGCGAAAATAGTTATTGAGCCACCGTATAAAAAGAATAATATTGTCCAGTGTACCAGATGCCAATTATATGGACACTCTAAGACATACTGTAATAGACCTTAGTACTGTGTCAAATGTGGAGGCAACCATATGTCAGCCGATTGTAAAAAACCTAGGGACACACCTGTCATATGCGCTCTCTGCAATGGAGCACACACTGCAAATTACAAAGGATGCATAGTATATAAAGAGTTAATTAGCAGTAGAAACAGAGCAAGAGGAATATCATCGCACACTCCAGCGAACAATCCACTGCCATATAACAGAAATACAGTACAGAATAATCCAAACTTAAGCAATCAAAATCACGCGACTTACACACAAGCAACAGGTGGAACAAATGTAAAAAATGTCCATAATAATACGAACTCATACAACCAAAATCAAGCAACTTACGTTCAAGTAACAAGTGGAACACATGGAAGCAATACACACAATGACATTGGAGAGATGATGAAGAGTTTCCTTAACGAATTCAAATCTATGTTTTTACAACTAATAAATCAAAATAGCGTGATCTTAAACATACTTTCCACAGTAATATATAAACTCAGTAATGGAACTTAAGTCACTACGAATTGCACAATGGAATGTCAACGGCCTAGGCAGCCCTAACACAGAAGTTACTAACTTTCTTGAACATAACAAAATTGATGTTCTACTCATATCGGAAACCCATTTCACTGACAGAACGATGTTCAATATCCCTTATTACTCTATTTACAGCACCAACCATCCTGATGAAACAGCACACGGTGGCGCTGCTATTATTATACGTAACACCATACCACACTATGAGGAAACAATGTATCAGACGGGAAAAATACAAGCTCCAGTATCAACCACAGTATCAGTTCTCAACCACAGTCTTTTAACATCGCGGCAATGTACAGCCCTCCAAGGCATAATATCTCCACAGCAGAATATGAAGACTTCTTTAAACAGCTATCAAACAAATTCTTGATTGGAGGTGACTGGAATTCCAAGCATACAGACTGGGGGTTGAGACTATGTACGACAAAGGGAAGAAATCTTAGGCAAGCCATAGCTAATACAAACAGCTCTTACTTATCTACAGGGCAACCCACCTACTGGCCATCAGATCCAAACAAAATCCCAGATCTATTCGACTTCTTTATCCTTCATAACATGGCCTTAAATTATTTTGACATACAACCATCCTGGGATCTGTCCACCGACCATACTCCCATAATTGTAACACTATCTACGCAAATTATAAAACGTCTGAATATCCCTAAGTTAACAACATTAAAGACCAACTGGAATGTATTCGAGTCTTACATAAATGAAAATTTAAATTTAAATATAAGATTAAAGCAACCAGACGATATCGATAACGCTGTGCTTATTCTCACCCAAACTATACATGCAGCCGCAGAAATACACCCCCTCAGAATGTCAAAGAACCAAGTGACACCAATATACCCGTATATATAAAACGTCTTGTAGCACAAAAAATAAGAGCCAGGCGCATATGGCAAAGAAGTCGCAATCCTATAGACAAAAATGAATACAATAGATTAACACGGCAACTTAAAACTGCTGTACAAGCCGCGAGGAATGACACATTTGAACTATTCATCGACAGCCTGTCAAAAGAAGACCACAGCATCTGGAAAGCAACGAAATCATTCAAAAGGCCTACACAGCACATACCACCTCTAAGGAAAGACGATGGAAGCTGGGGAAAAACTGAACAAGAAAAGGCATCAATCTTTGCTGCACATCTCTCACACGTTTCTGGTGCACCTGAATTTAATAACCATAATGACGAAGAACAAGTTAAAAACTTTTTAGACACTCCATGCCCAATGATGGTACCAATCAAATTCTTTACTCCTAATAATGTAAAAGAACAAATTTCTATATGCAATAAGTACAAAGCACCAGGCTTCGACATGATCACCAAGCTAATATTAAAAAATTACCGAGAAAAGCAATTGTCCATATAAGTTTATCACATCCTGAATATAAAACAACCTGTCTTAAAAAACTAAAAACGATCATGTTAAAAAATTCCTTCCCAGCGAAACTTCTAAAAAGACTTATTTTTGGTGTCTCTCAAGTCATCAGGACAAATCAAACAGAAGTTTCAACAAACAACCAAAATACATTGTACCACTCTTTACCATATATTTCAGGCTTAACAAATAGACTACTAAATACATTTAGAGAAGTGCCTAATATCAAAATTGAAACCAGAAATATAAAAACAATATCGAAATTATATACTAAACTTAAAACTCCCTTAAATAATAAAGAAAGCTCCAATGTAGTGTACTCTTTACCCTGTAATAATTGTAATAGAGTATATATTGGAGAAACGTCCAGAAATTTGTCCGGAAGATTGACATCTCACAAGAGTGACATTAATCTGAATAAAGTACAAGCCTGTGCATTAAATGAACATTGTATTACAATGGGCCATACGCCTAACTATGACCAAACAGAAATATTGAGAAGGAAAAGAAATTACAACAAAAGACTCTTTCTAGAAATGTGTTTAATTAAATCTACACAAAACACCTTAAACAAAAGAGAAGACATTGAAAATCTTAGTGTTATATACAGTAATCTTCTTTTACATAAAAGAATAACAATATAAAAGTTCTTAAAAGTTACACATATTAAAGGGATTATTCCAAGTTCAAATGAGATAAAATTTATTTTTATTTGTTTTTTTTTCTTAATTACTTAGTAACATAAACTCTGTTGCTTGTTTAATAACTGCAAACTAAACATTTCTACATATTAAATCAAAATTTGAAATGAAGGTTTGCATAAACTTAGACACTTCCTCTATCAAACTAACCTAAAATAAATATAAAAAATAGAAAAGACATGTAAACCTTAGTAATAAGTTTTGACAGAACGAAGAAGAAAATCAAATTTAATAATGCCATCATCTTAATTAATTTTGCTAATTTTAAAACACAATCCTCACAAGAGTAAGCCTATTGAAGATATAACAACTTCATTTTTCTAATGTAGTTTTTATGTTAATTTTTAGTACGTTTTGAAAAAGAGTACAATAAACTCGAAAGCTTAACAAACCTAAAAGAGTTTCACACTTAAAGGCCAATATATATATATATATATATATATATATATATATATATATATATATATATATATATATATATATATATATATATATATACATATATACATATATATATATATATATATATATATATATATATATATATATATATATATATATATATGTATATATATATATATATATATATATATATATTTATATAATCCTGAACTTGTTCTATTAAACAGAGACTTTATCAAAGATTAATGTATCGTCTTATGGTATGTAACAAGCCATTGTCTTCCCTCAATTTTTTCATTTTTTCTTAAAAAATATTGAGTCGCAATTGTTGGTATTGAAAGTTCTTTAAATACGATCAAAGTAT